ATTTTATTTAATTTTTTTTTTATATTTTTAATTTTTTTTTTTTTTATATTTATACAATTTTTTATAAAAATATATTTATTCATATTCATAATATAATATAATATAATAAAAAAAAATTAAATAAATAATTTATTTAATCATATTTTTTTATATAAATATTTTTAATAATTTTAATTTTTTTCTTATAATTTTGAATTTCATTTTTATATATAAATTTATTTTAAAATTTAAGATTTTAGAAAATACAATAATATTAATATTTATTAAATCAACATAATAATAAAATTAATTATTTTGTATTTTAAACCTTTTTTTATAAAAAAATATATATTAATTATAAATTAATTTAACTTATCTTTTATAAATATTTTTAAAACAAATTGTTTATTTAATTTATATTTTAAAATAAATTTGATATTTAAAAATTATAAATTAATTTTTAAATAATAACATTTTTACTATTTGATGATTATTTTTTTATTATAAAATGAAATAAAAATTTATTTTTTCCTAATATTGAATGTATATATATACTTTAATGTTAATTAAGAATTTAAAATTTAAAAATTATTTATTTTTATTTATTAAATTTATATTTATAATTACATGTTTCAAAACATTAACAAATAATCACGAATATTTTAATAATTTATAATTTATATTGTTTAATAAAATAACATGAGCTAACAATTCTTAATCAAAGTAAATTTTAAGTATTTTAATTTATTAAATATAAAAATTATAAATTTCGTATTTAAAAATATAACATTTAATTTATTATTACAATAACAAATAATTAAATATCTATTAAATTCTTTTAAAATAAATAATAATATAATTATCGAAAAGTAGAGATATTTATTTAATGATGATATTTTAGGACCATTTTTTTTTTTAATATAAACGATTAAAAATTTATAAATATTCAATTTAAATACTTTATTTAGTAATAATTAAATATTTAGAAAAGTTAATATTATATAAAATAAATATATAAAAATTAACAGAAAATTTTATTTATCAGAATGATCATAAAATACTTAAGATATTTGTTTAAACTTTTAGTAATAAATATATAAAAATATTTATTTTACAATGATAAAATTATGCATTTATAAAAACTATAATTTTAATATTTAATTATTATTAATTTATATCAATATTTTATAAATTATAATACTTTTAATATTTTTTTTTTTAAATAATATTTTATAGATTTTATGCGATTAAAGACAAGTTTAAATACCTGCTTTTTTGAGTAACATAAAAAATATAGTAATTTACTTTTTTTTTTCTTATAATAATAATATATATTTTAAATTATTAATACGACGAAAAAAAGCCTATTAATATTAATTTTCTAATTATTAAATATTAATTTTACAAATATATTAAAATAAAATATTTTAAATATTAATTTTTAAATAGACATTAAAAAATAAAATGTATAATTAAAAAGGCAAAAATAAATATTTAGATTTTTTAATTTACAAATTTATTTATTATATATGAATGTATAATGATTTAAAAAAAAAGTGCAAATCTCAAAAAAAATTTAAAATAAAAAGAAATAAATATAAGTTTTTATTATAATTAATACATATTCTTTAATATTAAATAATATTTAAATTATAAAAAATATATTAATAATTAACACTATATATCTTATTATAAAAATTATCAAACAAAAATTAATTTTATTTAAAAATAAAATAATTTTTATTTTATAATTATTTCTTTAAATTTTTTATATGCATTTTTATATTTTAAAGACTTAATTTATTTTTTATCAAAATTATTATTCGAGTTATTATATTTCAATATAAAATTATATCAGATTCAATATTTACTTTAATTAACTAATTTTAAAGAAAAAATAAAAATACATAATAAATTTTATCATTAATAAAATAATAAATATATATATTTTATTTTATTTTGAATCAAAAAAGATCATAATTTTTAAACAAGCTTTCCGTTTTTCCAAATGCATTAGTAAACTTAATTATCTTAATAAAATGTACCTTATCCATTAATAACTCCTTTTTAAAAATTTCCTACTAATTTACATTTATTTAATAAATCCATAACCCCAAATCCTTAAATTTTATTATTTTAGAAATCTCCTTAATACTAAATCCATAAATTCTTTACATAAACATCTTATAAATCTTCAAAATTATAAACACAAGCTTAATTAATATAATTAATATTAAATAATATTCCACAGCCGTTTAATGCCCCTTTATCCCAATCTCCTTTATAAATTATAGAATTTTAATTATTCTTTAAAATTCCATATCCTTAAGGTTTTTAATCATCAACGTTTCCTTCATAAAACAAATCACTTTCTAATTAAATTTTTTAGAATTAAAATGTTTAATTTTTATCTATTTTATTATTAGCAGTACTTTAAAATTGCTCTTTTTGTACATTTTGACTAGTCTTAGTTTATAATGATTAAAAATTTTAAACAGTTTAAGTTTATTAAATATCTGAAGTTCTTAAATTTTTAGAAGAAATGTAATTTTATTATTACAATACTTACTAATTATTTTTAATTACTTATTATTCTTAAATTAAATTTTTAATCACTTATTGTGTTTTATTATTTTAATAATTAATTGGTTATTTTGTTTTTTAAATATTTTCTTATTTTTTTGCTAAATTTTAATTTTAATTAATGTATGTTTTTTTCAATTATTATTACTGATTAATATCATAAATTATTTTTTCACTCCTTTCTATAGCTTAATTCAGTTTTTAATTATTTAAAGCGAAATTTTGAGGTACTTATTATAAAAAAGTATTTGGAATTTTCAAGTTTTAATTATAACTATTTAATGACTTATTATTTAGATATTTTTAATGCACATAATAATCTGAATTTCTAATATTTAAAGAATAATTTAAGCTGTTTTACGATAAAACTCTACTGTTGTTTTATTTAAATACCTTATTTTTATTTAAATATTAATTTTTATAAAATAAAATATAATTGATATGTATTTTAATTACAATAGAATTAGACAGTCTATTCTCTGATTTCCTTAAATTATCGGTACTATTAGAATTCTAATATTAAGATCTATGCCTTTGTAAATGATTAAATTGATTATTAAATATAGGTCTATTATTCATAATAGGCATTGGAGAAATTGATCTTGTATAAAACATTTTTTATTTTAGAGATATTAATTTTTAATAATATTAATAAAAAAATAATATGTTAATTATATTATATTTTATTTTATATTAATTTTATTATTTTTATTAATTTTATAAAATTATTTTTAATTCTTTTTAAATTTAATATAATTTACCTTTAAATAGATTTTTCATATAAATATAAAAATAATTTAAATAAAATTCTATTAAAACAAAAAATTAAATTAAATTAAATAAAAAATATTATTGAATTATATAAAATTTATTAATATTTATATGCACATAAATTAATATAAATATATATATATATATAAAAATATATAAATATATATTTATTTATTATTAATATTATTATCTTTTATTTTTATTTTTATATTATATTTTATATATTTTTAAAAATTTTATTCATTTAATAATTCATGATTATAAATGAAATTATATCTATTGAAAAAAATTAAAATTAAAATTCTATATAAATAGCAAACTAAAATATTTAAATTAATCTATGGTAAATTTTTATATTATATTTATTATTATTTTTTTAAGTTATAATAATTAACTCTCAATTTTTTTAAATAAATTATAATTTCTTTTGTATAATAAAAATGATTTAAAAGAAATAAAAATGCATTTAAAGTAATTTTTTTTATTTTAATATTTATTTAATCATAATCAAAATTTTATTATATATTTTTATCTCTAATTAATTTAGCTCAAATGAGTTAAATTCTATAAATATAATTTAAATTTTTTCTTTGTTGAAAATGTGTGAAAATCTTTAAACATTGGAATTAGACTTAGTGTATAATTTAATTAATAAATATATTTTATTAATAATTTTTAAGATTTAAAGATATAGATGATGAATCTTTTGAATATTTATCTTTGAATAATAAAATAAATAGTTTGACCTTATATTTAATGTTAAAACTAATATATAAAATACATTTATATTTATTAGATTTAAATATATTAATTAAAGGGAAAATAATTTAACTAAGAAATAATTATTTGTATTAAAAAGAAATCTACTCAACATTAATTAATTATAATATTTATAATTAAATTTAAGGTATAAGAAAAAAATCATTCTAATATTTAAATTTTTTATTAACAGATAAAATTTATTATAAGATAATGCTGTAAGTGAAATAATTTAAATAATTGAATAAAATAAAAATTTAAAATATTTAGATCTTAATCTTGGGTTTATTTTTTATTTTTTAAACAAAAAAACAATATTTTTAGATAAAATAAAATAAAAGACTAAGGAGTTATTCTACTTGCAAATTATTTTTAAAAAAATCAAAACATTAGGAGTTTATCATTATGTTTGTGTAGAAATATTATTAGTTATAAAGTTTTAAAATATCTCATATAGTGTATTTCTTAAATGAAGTTTTTAAATATATTAGATTTAAATATTTTGTATATAAAAAAAAAACATTTAATTATTATAAAAATATATTCAAAAATAAAAAATATAAAAGATTCAGTACAAAACAATAATTCAAATATAAAATAAAATAATTTTCTAAAAAATATTTAATTTTAAGTAAGATTATTAATTTAAATTAAAAAATTTGATATGAAAATAATTTATTAAAAATCAAAATAAAATAAAAGGAATTAACTAATAAATAAAAGTATTATTAGAAAAAAATATATATATACTTTTTATTTTTATATAAAATAGATATAATAAATTAAAATTTTGTTTAAACAAAATTTTAAAATTATAAAAATAAAATATTTAATATTTATGTAAAAAATATTTATAAAAAATAAACAAAAATAAAAACAGAAAACAAAAAACAAAAAAATTAAAAAAAAAGAAACAATAATAAATAAATTATAAATATCCTATTTATTTATAATTATAATTTGATATTAATTTTAAACTTTCATAAATAAAAAATTATTTTTTTATATTTTTAATGTTTAAATTGATTAAAGTTATACTCTAAAAAAAAAAAAAAAAAAGTTAAAAAAGATGTAAAATTATATAAATTATTTTACTAAAACATAAATAGATTTATAAATAACTAATATAAATTAATTTTTATATAATTTTAATATTATTATTCTTAATTACATACAATTTTATTTTATTTTAATTTGAAAAAATAAAATAAAAAAATCATTTAATAACATTATAAAATAAAATTATTTTTAAATAGTTTGTTTACATTAAAATTAATTAAATAACTAAATAAGAAAAAAAATATGATAAAAAATCAAATTATAAAATATTTATTTAAGAATTAATACTTAAAAATAGAATTAATAAATAAATAATTCATTTAGTATAATATTAATTTTAGAGTATTTTTTTATTAAAAAATAATTAAATAATATATTAATTAATATATATATATATATATATATATAATTTAAAAATGTTTAAATATATAATTCATTATATAGCTTGAATATTATAACAATAAAATTAAAATTATTTCATATTTATCAATAGTAATTATTTACAAAATATTATTAAAAATAATTTATTATTTTTTTTAAAAAAAATTATAATAAGACAATATTATATTTTAGAGTGCTTCTAATATATAGCTATTTAATAATATTTTATTAAATAAAAAAAAATTAATTTAATTATTTTATTTATAATTTCATAGAGTAATTTAAGTAAATAATATTTATTAAAATAGCTTAATGTTTTTCTTGAAACATATAAGTCTAAATTATTTCTTAAAAAATTATTACTATATATATAAAAAATAAAAAAAAATAATCAAAAAATAATATTATTAAAAAAATTTTTCATTATTTTTTAAGTTTTGGATAAATATCACTTAAAATCTTCGACATACAACAAATAAGTTTTTTTGTAAACGGAATATGCAAGAACTCATTAGGTCCATGTGCATTAGAATTAGGTCCCAAAACCCCAGTGATAATAAACTAAGATTTAGGGAAAAGTCCTAAAAGTAATCCCATTAAAGGAATCGATCCTCCTTCTGCTAAAGAAAGTGCCTCTTTTCCATAAAAAGCTTAACTAGCACTTTAAATACTGTCTTCTAAATATCCTTCTATTTTAGGACATTTCCATCCTCCCATTCCAACTACATTAGTGCATGTAACTTATGCTCCATAAGGTGGATTTTCAGTTAGTAATTTAACTAATGTTTCTTTAGCCTATTCAGGGTCTTTAGTAGGAGGTAATCTTATTGATAATTTGATAGATGTTTATGGTCTTAATACATTTCCAGCACTTTAAGCTTAAGGTAAATAATCAGCACCTGTTATAGATAATTAAGATTTCCAAGTCTAAATATAATATAAATGTGTATATTGATATAGAAATTTACTTTATTGATATAAGCATTTAAAGCGTTTTTAGTTGTAGGTTACATTCCTTATACAAAAGGAAATTTATTAATAATACTATCAGGCATAGTTTCACTTACTTTAACAGCTTAAGAATAATTATAAACAGGTATATTAACCTTTTTTTAAAAAAATATATATAAATATATTTATATATATTTATATATATAAATACTTATAAATCTTCATGCATTTCTCCTGTTTTTGAATCTTCTATTCTATCTAAAAGAATTCTTAAAATTCTAAATGAAGAAGGTACGACACCACTTGCATCACCACTATGTACTCCTTCTTCTAAGACTTTCACATTTAAAGTTAACATTACGGCTCCTCTTAGGGAACTTGTTGTCCAGAATTGTTCATAGTTTAGAGCTCCAGAATCAAGACAAAAAACGACAGAAATTTCACCTAATCTATGTCTAAGTTTTTCTAAATATAACGGGAAGTGAGTTGATCCGGATTCCTCGTCTCCTTCAATCATTATTACACATCTAGAGTGTGGTAATCCTTATTCTTAGCAAGCTTTAATAGAGGTAACAGCTCCAAATATACTATAACCATCATCTGCGCCTCCTCTTCCGTAAAGCTTATCGTCAATAACAACTGGTTTGTTAAATTCTAAACCTTCTAACCAACCTGTAAAAGGTGGTTATTTATCAAAATGACCATACATAAGAACAGTTTCAGTGTTATCAGTTGTTCCAGGTACTTCAATGTAGATTAAAGGAGATTTATCAGCATCTTTAATAAGCTCATATGTTGCATTTTTAAGATCTTATTTTTTAGCCCATTCAAATAATAAATTAGCGGCCTTTTCTTATAAACCGTTTGTATTCCATTCAGGGTCAAAAGACTTACTCATATTCGGAATTCTAATATATTCTTCGATAGTTGGTTATATTTCTTAATGCCATTTTTTTTCGACGAATTCTATAGTTTTTTAGATATTCATTTAATAAAGTTTTTTTATTTTATTAATATTATAAAATAATATTAAAAAACAAATAAAAAAATTAGTTTATATATTGATAAAATAATATTATTTTTTTTGTTTTTTATGAAAATATAAATAAATATAAATAAAACTATATATATATTAGATATATATAATGTTTATTAATTATTTATTTTATAAATTTTTTATTATCAATAAATATACTTTTTCTAGACAAAATTTTAATACTAAATTATATTTTATATTAGAATTTATTCAAAAATAAATAAAAAAAATTATATTTCATTAATATATTTTACTTAAAATATAATTAAATATAAATATAATTTAAAATATAAAAAAATAAAATACATAGCAAACAATAATATTTAATTCCTTTAAAATCTTTTAATTTTTGAATAAATAACAGACTAATTTCATTATTTTGAATAACTTAGTATTACCTTTTTTTTAACTCAAATATTATTATTATTATTTCTATTTTTTTTTTTTTTAATATTAATTTTTTTCAGATTTTGTTTGATTAGTCCTTTTTTTTTTTAATTTTATTTTCTTATTCTATCAAATAAATATTTTTATAACTTTTAAAACTAGAAAGTACATATCTTTATTTTAAGATTTTATTTTTATTTTTATTAATAATATATTTTATCTATTGCTTAACTTAAAACTTTATTAATTTTGCTTAATCTTATTTAAAATATATTAATATTTATATTAATTTTGGTCTATCTATTTATTATTTTCCTTCTTTCTTTCTTTCTTTCTTTCTTTTTTTCTTTCTTTCTTTCTTATTTTTTTTTTATTTATTTTTTTATTTATTTTTTTATTTTTTTTAAAAAATAAGTTCAAAATGCTTATAACAATAAGAAATTATATTCATTTAAGAAGACTTAGATTTTTATAATAATAACTTATTATTTAAAATTTAGAAATATTATTATTTATATATATTTAGATATATTAAATGCATTTTTAAACATAAATATAATTTAATGTTTTATTTAATAAATTTAAATAAAGGTTGGAAATATGTAATTAAATATGATGATAAATTTGTTAATAATTTTAAATATTTTTAAAATTAAAATAAACATATTCCATTTATTAAATTAATTAAATGTTAAATAATAAATATATATCTATAATATTTAATTTTCATTTATTTTAAAAACATAATTTATCTAAATATCTTTTATTAATTTTTTTTAATAATAAAATGTTTTTAAATAGATTTTATAAACTCATCTTAAAATATCACTTTTATTTAAATTCTTTGAGTTTTAGAATTTTTTCTTATTTGTCATTTTTTTACGAAGCAGAAATTAACTAAATAACACTAATAAACTAAAAAAATAATGGAATATTTATTCTTAAAAAATTTTATAAAAAATTAAAATTTTTGATTAAATTGTACTATATTTAACAAAAAAATAATATGAATATAATGTAAAATTATGCTTTTAAAAATAAAAATATGAATTGAAACAAATAAAAGGTAAGTATTAATGGACTTTGAACAATCAGAAATATCTAATTTATCATAATTTGCTTTTAAATATAAATTTAGTAATTTGGCTTCTATTACCAAAACCATGGTAAATTTTTTTTTTTTTTTTTCCATAAGATCTTCCATTCAGTTTTTGCTATTTTATAATAAGTTTCTCCACAATATTATGTTGAATAAGTTTAATACCAAATGAGAACTTATGTTTAAAGCAGATTCCATTAAAAATAAACTAGATAGAGAAGGATTATGCTAAAATAGCAAGCATTATTGAATCAGAAACTCTATCACAAACCATATCTAAAAAGGCTCCACAAGCATAACACTATTTGAATTTTCTTGCTGCAATACCATGAAATTCATCTAAAATCATAGATAAAGCTGTTTAAAGATAATATGTATTATAAATAAGTATATATATAATACATTTACCCGACCTTAATCAATTATTTTTGGTATATAAAGGTAAGTAATAACATTATTTAATTTTTTTTGTTTTGTTTTGTTTTATATTATTATATTTTAGATATTAATTATTTAATTTTTTTATGAATTTATTTTATTGAAAAGACTAATTATTTAATTAATAAGTTTTATATTATTACTTTAAATTTATTTTTTATTTAAAAATTCGAAATATAAAAATAAATTATTTTATTTTTACTTAAATTTATAATTATCCTAATTTAAAATTTAAAAAATAAATTCTTAATTTCTTTTTTTTATTATTTACTCAATAATTAAAGCATTAAATGTCTTTGAATTTGATTTTTGAATATTTATTTATTTTGTATCATTAATTTAAAATACTTAATTGAACTCAGTCGTCTAGATTAAACACTTTTAGCTTATTTTTGCCTAAAAATACTAATTAATTATTAATTTATTATTCTACATTATATAAATATATAGTATTATATATTGTTAATTTTTGATCCTATATATAAGTTAATATAATAAACTAATGAAAAAAAATTCTTTATATTTTTTGTTTTATAATCATATTATTTTACAAAGTATATTTTTCTGTTGCTCCATATTAAAAATCAATTTACAATGAGAATAGGATATTACTCAAAAATACTATCTAATATAAATTGCTCAGGTAATAATATAGAATATATCTTATTTTCTTAAAGTAAATTATATTAAATTGATATATATAACTTATTTTATTTTAATATATTTTTCTTTTTTATTATCTTAATTATATTTTTTACTTTTTTCTATTTTCTTAAGAACTAATTCGTTCAAACTTCATTTATTTGTATGTATTTATAATTTTTTATTATTTTAAAATAAAAAGATATACACATTCTTATAAAAAAATAATACATTATCTTATATTTAAATTTTTTACTCTTATAGAATTTATATGTAAAATAATATTTTTATTAATTTTTTAAATTTAATATTAATTAAATTTTCGAAATTAAAATAATGCTATAAAGCCACTAAAAAAAGTATATAGTCAAATATATATATATATATATTTTTGGTAAAAATTAATTAATTAATTTTTTTTTTCATAATTAAAAATTATATAAGGTTATTCTAATTATAAATAAATATATATTTAATTTTAAAGCTTTATAATCGATTTCTAAAAAAATGGTTTCATTTTTTTTATTCGCAAGTAAAACTCTCATTTTTCCAAGTAAAAATTATAATAATAATTATTAATATCATCTGTATGAAATTTTTATATTGTATTCATTAAAAGATTTATTTTAATTATAAAATCGCCAGTATTTTATAATATTATGATTATTGTATTACTTAACAATAGATTTAGTAATTTTAATCAAAACAACAAAATTTTTAAATTAGAAATTTAGTTACAAAAACATATGAAAAAAATATTAAAAGACTATTTTTTTAAAAAAAATTATACTAAAAAATTAACTAAGTAACTTAAGTACTTTCATTATAAAATAAAATATTATAATTATTATTAAAAATAATTTACTAATGATATAAGTTTTTAAAAATATTATAATTATAATTATTTGGAAATAGAAAATATTAAATTTCTAATCTTAAGCTTATCATATAAAAATATAAAAAAAATAATTTTTTTATCCAAATTATCATGCTTCTAAAAGTATAATTCTTTTATTGTGTGTTAAATTATTTTTGTTTCTTATATTTTTTGACAAGTTATTATTTAGTTCAATCTATATTTAGGTTTTTTCAGTTATTTAAAAAGGTAAAATATAAAATATAAAATCTATTAAATATATTATATACTTTACTAAAATATATTAAATTTATTTAGATTATTATAATTTTTATCCTAATTTTCTCCTGTTTAGATTCTTACAAACTAAATTTACCTGTCAAAGTTGAAAGTCATGTCTAATTTTATAAAAAAGAGAAAAAATAAACCTTTATCTTTTTTTTTCGGTTAAATATTACTAAAAAATTATAATGGATAGAAAAAATATTTAACTAATAGAATTATATATTTATAAAAACTTTATGTAAAATTCTAATTCTAATAATGAATTAAATAAAAAAAACATATTTTTTAGGAAATTTTATAAACTTAAAACATTTTAGAAATTCTATTATTACAAATTATGTATTTGATATATTGAATTTAAAAATAATATAATTTTTTTCAAATTTAAATTTAGTATTTATAAAATTTTAGGAAATTAAAAATAATTTAATTAAATATTAAATAATTGGAAATTAAATTAATTCTAAAATAAAAATATAAAATAACTATTATAATTAATTATTTAAAGTTTAATTAAGTTATCAAATAATTAAATATATATATTTATCTAAGAATATTAAAATTGCTGTTAAGACCATCAGTTTCATACTTAAGAGTTATCCATTATCGGCATAATAAATGTCAATAGTATTTTAATCTAATGTTAACTGTTGATCATCCAATTATTTATTATTTATAATTAATTAAGCATTTAGTTATGTATATAGAGGATAATTATGTCTAATTAATATAAAAAAATAAAATATTGATCTTCCATTTATTTATTTAATTTAAATTTGATAATTATTTGATTCTTTTTTTGTTAGACTATTAGAAATCATTTTATTTTCTTCAATTAACGAAGATTAAAATTATAAATATTCCATATTCCTTAATTTTTATATCTTATAAATATCTTCAGATGTAATACTGTAAACTTAACATATATCTAAATAATATTAGTCTGAACTTTAATTTTAAGATTATAATTTTAAATTTAAATGGATATCATTTTTATGATATCTGCAATTCCTTAATTATATATTTCAAGATACAAAATATTCAATACTTAATCATATGGCATATCTTCTTAATTCTTTATTATGAAATCGTTTCTATAAAAAACTCTATTTGCTAATAAGTTATCTAGTAATCCTAATTTTTATATACTTATATTTATAAATATAGTTTGTTTTTTATTTTTAATAAAAACATTGGATCATGGTTCATTTTATATATCATATACATTAAAGGAGGTAAATTAATTTCTAGGC